GTTGGGGGGCTTAGGAGCTCCTCAGGGGACAGAGGGGCCGTCGGGGTCCTGGCACTGCTCTGCCCTCCCTCTCCCCTGGCAAACGCCGACTCGAAGGGCTCCGTCCAGAACGTCCTGCGGCGATCCTGTGCTCCTGAAACCGCGGCGTTTGCATCCCCGGACGGCTCGGGGGGCTGCCGGCTGCTCGGCTCTGGGGGTTCGTGCCCGCAGTTGGCTTGGGCTGTTACCACAGACGCATCCCCGCTGCTTCGGGTCCGGGGTCTCCGCAAAGACCCCGAGCTTTATCCCCCTCCCGCGAGGCTCCGATCAGCCCGGCGCGCTCGAGCGCGGAGCTGAGGAAGGACGACGTGCGGTGGTGCGAGGCTGGTGGCCGTCACTCGCCTCCGCCAGCCCTTGGAGACCCTTCTCTTGCAGCGGTCGTGGCAGCATGAAGCCTCTGGCTGTAAACCTGGGCTGTCCTGAGCGTTTCATGTCCCGCTCCGTGTCTTGAAGCCCGATGGTGGCTGTGCGGGACCGGGCAAGACGTGGCTGGGGTTTCGGTCCCGGCATGAGGACACCAGATGCTGCCGTGGGCCGGCAGCGGGGATGCCTTTGCCTGTGGGGAGAGGCAGGACCTGGCCCCGGGGCTGGCTCAGCCCTTGGTGGGCAGTGGCTCAGCTGAGCCGACACGCAGGGCCCCGGGGAACGCGGGACGCCGCGGGGTTTCACCGCGCTTCCAGAGGCGGTCGTGGGCCGCTCCCCTGCTGCGTGGTGCCGGAGCAAGAGAGCAGCTCGGAGAAGCGATGGCTGAACGCTGCCTGCTCCCCGGGACGTGGCGAGCATGCGGCTGAGCCATTCCCACCCTCGGCATGCCGGGCACCGAGGGGCTGCCGTGCCAGGAGCCCACTGCCCCTGGCTGCCCAGGGCACGGCTCGCAAGTGGAGGGACTGGGGCAAGGGAATTGCAAGTGAAAACAGCCAGTGGCTGGGGCCGGGCTGCCGTGCTGGCTCCAGGGAAATGCACCGTTCACGCAGCCCTCTGAGTTTCCCTGTTTCTGCCTGCGGTGCCGGGGAGGGGATGGGCTCCCTGGGGGTCTCTGTGCCCACACCTTGCGCACGCTCGGCCGCTGAACTCGGGCAGCGGCGGCTCCCGGCCTTTGGAACAAGTGGCCGTTCGTAGGCAGACCGAAGCTGCAGCCCCGGTCCCCCTCCTCGCTCTACTTTACCACGGCCATTGCCTGTCAGCCCCCCTCTTCTGCTCACTGTCCCTCGTGCCACCAGCGCTGCCGGGACCCCGCACATAATGTGCCTGGCAGGGTGACTTTTCCGAGCGTAGGCACGGGCTCGGATCAGCCCTGGAAGGTGCTTCAGGGAAAGCCACAAATCGGTGTGGGAACAGCTCGCTGCGGAGCTCCACACCGTGCCCTGGCTGCAGGATCATGACAGCATCTGCAGGTGCTCAAAAACCAAACAGCCTTAGCCCTGCGGCGTCCTGGCCGCGAACGTGGTTTGCTGAAGAAGTTGGATCACTTAATGGATTTTTTGGGGTGAGGTTTAGTGTCCAGTTTACTTTAATATTGACCATTTTGTTTTAAAAGCATCTCTCCCTGCGAGGAAACTCAGACGCCTGTTAGCATCTGGTAAAACTCTTGCCGTTGGCGTCTCTAAAAGGCCCCGTCCCTCTCGTTCTCCAGGCGTTCTGTCTCCTGGTGCAGCGCTTGGTGCAAAGGCTGTAACTCTCAGAAGAGGTGACATGAGAATTAGCTGTTGAAGTCGTCATGTGAGCTGAGAAGACACATTAATAGGAAGTCGGGGGCGCAGGAGGAAAGGAGAAGCAATGTCACAAGATGGAAAGGCTTCTTACTGTAAGACATGTCATTAACATGCAAACGTGTGCTAATGAGAAGCTTGTGATTTGAATCTAAAAGCCGAGAGTGGGGAGGGGGTGACACTGCGGAGGGGGTGACACTGGAGCTTTGCAGGGGCTGCTCTGGCCTTTCCCAGGGACGGGACGTGCCTCGCCACAGGTCCTGGGTCCGTTTTGGTACCTGGCGTCCTGTTGGCGCTGGGCTGGGATGCCGGTGTTTTGCCACGTGGACCTCTGCAGCGGCGCTCGCTGGGTATTGGCGCTCGACGTTGTCTCAGGATTTCACCGGCAGCCTCCTGCTGGGATTCGCAGGCTCCCTGCCGATGGCATCGCCTTTCATCCCTGCAGCCCCTCTCACCTCCTGCTTCATCCTTGAAACAGGAGGTCTCACCAGCAAAAAGAAACCAGATCTTTCTTCTGAGTCCCGAGAGCCCCTCTTTTTTTTTAACCAGAAAAGCCCTGAGGGGTCCCCGGCGCGGGTGCCCCTTTGGACTGTGTTACTGTCACCCGGGGTGTCCCTGCGGGCAGCATGTGCCACTCACACTTCCCCGGCCTGTCGTGTCGCCTGTTGGAGCTGCGCTGCTCGAGAGCCCCCGAAAGCGGCTCGCAGCTCGGCAGCCGGGGCAGCGCAGGCTGCGGAGGATGTCTGAATGCATAATACAACACCGGGGTGCTCAATAATTTATCTGTCACCCAGAAAAAGGCACATTTAAACACGCTCAGATCCAGCCCCTGCTCTTTCTGCTCTGAGCTTTCTCCTGCCTGAGGGAGCGGTCCCAATCGGGAGGCCTCATCTGGGCTTAAAATATTTCTGCAAAACCCTGCTCTGTCCCACGGTGCTCTGAAGGTAAAGCCCTTGTCGCTGGTTCTTCCCCAGAAGTTGGTTATTGCCGGCTGGTTGGGGATGGGCGTGCTTCAGTGTTAAACCTCACCGGGAAGGCTGGGTTTTAATGACGGGTGGGTTTAGGCTGGCTGAGCTGCACGAGGGCTCGCACTGGCTGCCGCGCTCTGCCGCGTCCCTGCGCTCTGCCGCGTCCCTGGCACCGCCGAGCGGCCCCAGTGCTGCCTCGGCGTCAGGGGAGCGGGGCCAGCGAGTCTCGCAGGGTGATTTTAAAGCGCTGTGAAAGTTGTGGGGGGCTGCCTAAGTGCAAAGTGGTGTTTGAGGGAAGGAGGCAGTGACACCCTGCCGTAGAGGAGGAGGCAGCCCGTGCATGAGGTGATGTATTATTTAGCACTCACAGATGTCTTTAACTTTTCTCAGTTTGAGATGGGCCCCTCGCTCGGAGCAGCGAAGGGCCGCGGTCGTTGCGGCTGATCTGAAGTGACAAGTCTTCCAGCTCCTTCCGAAGTGCCTCTGAGAGAGACTAACGGGGGCTTGACAGGAGTCCAGCTTTCTTCCCTTTCCAGCCCCGGCACTCCCCAGGGGCTGGGACGCAGGAGCCGCTGGTGCAGGGACCCAAAATTGCCCCAAGTCAGGCTGTGCTCAGCTCTTGGAGTTGCTCCGGCGTCCAGTGGGGCTCAGCAGCACCCCTGGCTTCACCTGCCCTGTGGATTGCCCCTTCCCACAGGTCTGGGCACAGTCTCGGGGCTTTTTCCCTTGGACATTGCATGGCTGCAGCCTCCTGGTTTTTGCAAGTGAGATCTGCTGTAGACAACCAAACCTCACTCGGATCCCGGAGGATGCAGAGCTGCTGGGGCAGTGGCTAAGGCAGCAAAGGATCTGGTTTTACGGAGGCAAAATGTCCTTGAGCGGGAGTATTTTGCAGAGAAGGAGTTCATAGCTGTGCCTTTGCCGTGGGTGACTCGGAGGTGGCGGAGCCGGGGACTGACAGATCCCTGGCCTGACCTGTTTTGGCATCCTCTTCCCTTGTTTGTCTCCAGTGTGTGCTTAGTTGCACGGTCCATTAACATAGTGGCCTCCTTGTGCGGTGCTGACGGAGAGGAAAAATTTTAATACAATGGTTGGCACGGGCTGTGTGAAAACAGCCTTCAGGCCTCAACACCTCGCTCGCGCTGGGGTTGTGTGACCGGCACTGCCAGCCGCCACGGCCAGGACGGAGAGCAGCGCTTTCCCCTGCTGCTTCCCTGCTGCTCTGCTTGGCCGGAGTCGGGCGTGAAACCCAGTGTCCCGCTCCCCTCTCGGCTGTGCGGGATGGGATCCGACGGGATGACCGGCTCCCGAGGCTTTGCAGTTTGCCTTGTGCAAAATGTCGAGCCCTTGGGAGCTTTGCATCCGTCCCTGCAGAGGAGGCTGCTGTAGCTCAGGGTGGCTCCGGGATCCCGGGGGCTGCTCCCTTTTGGATCACGGGCCTCCGCAGAAACACCCTGAGGCCCCTTTTCCTGCTGCCGCGGCATCTCCGTGGGGTTTGCCATCTGCTGCTCTGGCCGCTGGCTGTAGCTGCCAGCTTGGCTCGCCGTGCTGCGAGCGCGTTCTGGGTGGCTGCCTCTGGGTTCCAGTGACGCTTGCCGGTGGCTCCGCAGACCCCCTGTGCCTCTGAGCCTTTGGCAGCCGATTCCTCCCTCCCTGCAGTGAGCAAAAGGGAAGGAGGGTCCCTGCCCATCCTGGTGAACGTGGGGTGCCAGGGTGAGAAGGGGCAGGAGGGTGAGCCCTGGATGTCTTTGCTTCAGAGAGCGAGGCTCTTTGGCAGCCAAAAGGCCAGTATTAGCCTTTTCCCTCAGGAGCTGTACAAAACAAACAGGATCTGATTTGGTAATAGGAATATTTGCCTTCAGAGGGGGAGAAGAGAAGGGATATCCGGAGACCCGAGGCCTGAGGGTCCCCTTCGTGTCCCCACAGGTCACGCACTGACTTGGCAGATGTTGCCCCGATTCACGTAGGACCCAAGTCGCTTGGGTCAAGGATGAGCAAGCCGACAGACCTGCAGCACGACCTGGAACGAAGCCTCCCAGCCATAGCGTCCATCAGCACCTCGTTCTCCCAAAGCCAGGGCTTCTCCCCGTATTGCTACTTCTCTCCGGAGAAGAGGAAAGCCATCTCGGACGTGAGGAGGACCTTCTGCCTTTTTGTCACCTTCGACCTGCTCTTCATCTCTTTGTTGTGGATAATCGAATTGAATGTAAGTTGGGGGAAGCAAATCTGTGGAGTCTTTGCTCTTTTAAGTTGTGCTTTTTTAATTCAGTTCCCTCTGTATTAACTGCTCTCTTTCAGAAGTCTTGGGCCAAGTCTTTGTTTGTTCTTCCCAGCACTCTGCTGTTTTGTGCTGGCTGAGAAGCTGCTGCGCAGTTAGTGTAAACTAAAGTCCAGCTCGTTTCCTGCAACCGGGCTCTGTTGTGGCTGTCCAGGGTCGTTAACGCCCTTACGTGTAGCGCTCTGTGTTGTAGTGTAACGAGATCCGGGGCCGTGGAATCCCTAGGTTGAGCAGTTGGCCAAATTTCTCTCCTGCTCCCCTTGCCTTAAGTGAAGCTGCTCACTGTGTTTGCCAAGCAGCTGCCAGCTTTGCTGCAGTGTCTTGTTCTCAGAGCATCAGAGGAGCGAGGTAGGATGTGCACACCCTCCTCTCACCCGCCCAGCTGTTGGGCAGAGACAAAAAGGGCTTTGAGCTTTGGGCCCAGCATACTGCTGTTAATCTCAGGTCCTGAAAGCCGGAGATGCTGCTCCACCATGAAGGGGACGGTGAGGGTTTCGGTTCTCTCCGCGGTGCTGTCACACACATGCAGGCTGCTGTGTTTGCTCAGTGCATCAACTGTTGCAATGACCAGGGAAATCCAGTTTATTTACCTCAGTCCCATCAGGTTGGAATTACTCCCTGGGCTGTATTTTATTTTATTTTTCCTGAACTGGTCCCGACTGGTTTTGACTGTGCTGGCGGTGGGTTTCAGGTACTACATGTCCTCCCATGGAACAACCTGAGCAGAGAGGCAAGATGAACAGATAGACCCCAGTGCTTCTGCGAGCAGCCCTGCCGGTGCCTGGCCTTTATTTATCAGCACTGGATCCTGCGCTCACTTAGCGGCTCTTATCTCTGCCCTGTTTATCTCCTGCAGTGTCTGCACTTAACAGATTGTCTGGGCCAGCAGTTCCCTCACCCTGCCCACGCGGTGTCGAGAGCCTGAAGAGACCCCTGCCCTCCCCCCAGCTAGGAAAAAGCCTCCCTGGGCCAGCATTCCAGCCATGCCGATGGTGTCCTGCACGCCCGGCTTGGACCCTGGCCTCCTGCTCTTGTCCCTGTTCTGGAGAGGTGCTGTCTACAAATCAAAATATCCAGCCCCGGGGAGATAATCTGCCAGCGCGGTCACCAGGGTGATTCTGAGCATAGGTCTTGCAGGTAGCCATTAATGAGTGACTAACTGCTGATATTTGGGCCCTGAGCAGAGATGCTGCATATTTAAAGCTATTAGGACAGCTTATTTGCCTAGTTATGAAGAGCAACGATTTTATATCATGACTAATGCTTTTTTTATCAAACGGTTTCCTTCAGTGCAAGATAAGCTGAGCAAATTGGCCCTCGTTAAATGTCTGTTGCCTGCAAACTGTAATTCTGCGAGCTTGCTGCTCTTGGAGACAGAGAGATGCCTCAAATGGCTCTTCTTCTTCCTTGTTCACGGCAGTGGCCTGTATTTAAACTGAAAACATCTCCCAGAAATCAGAATCCAAAGCCTTCCCTGTGTCTCGTTCCTCCTGCAGCATCTCAGAGCGGAGTCCCGGTGCGGGGAAGAGGCTTTCGGCGGCAGCTCGGCAAAGCTGCCTGGCACGAGTCTTGTAGCCACAGATCAGATAAAGCAATAGTGCAGAACCGCTTTGCCCCCCTCTCCCTGAATATTAAGCACCAGCCCTGACCTAGAGGGACCGCTTCCCGATGGCTGCCTCTTCTGTCCTTGGACTGGCTGACAAGAGGGTGCCAGGACACCAGGCTGCCAAGGACTGGCCTGAGATCCACCAACTTGTTTCTCACAGATCATCAAACAGCTGTCAGCCTATACCGGCTTCCAGGCCAGCTGGGCTGTGTTCAAACCAATAGCCTAAAGGTGAAGCATTTGTTCCAGTTACCTGAGCCACCCGCTTCCTCATAAACAGCGATTCCAGGCTCCCGAGAACAGGATTTATGGTGTCAAAAGTACCAGGGCTGTCAGGCCCCAGATTGTCTCGGGGTGAGGCAAGAGAGCTCTTCTGTAAGCTTTTTCCACGCTCCCGTACAATATCCCAGAAAGCGGTTTTGCCTCTTTCGGATGTCCTTGCGGTCTGTCTGTGTCTGTGCATGTCCCCCGTCCTCCTCTCCTCCCTCTTCCCCTTTGCCAGTACGTTTGAACCCGCCGGTTGCCTTCCTCCGTCAGATTTCCTGGAGGGCAGCTCAGCGCCGCTGTGAGCCGCGGGAAGCCAGCTGGCCTGGAAGGAAGGAGAGGGGCCCCCTCGGTGCTTTGCACAACGAGGATGATCGCAGCTTAAATTCCCCCAGGTTGCTGAGTGACCCCTGAGAGCCCTCGCGGGGGAGATGTTTTGGTTGTCCAGCTGTGGGAGACGCTTTGTTTGGTGCATTACTGAAGGTGCTAGAGAAGCAGTTTCCTCTGGTTTTTCATTTTTTCCGCGTCTCCTCCCGTACAGCTGAAGTCTGTCACCTGAAGCCACGCGTGGAAGCGGTGGGCACGAGTGGGAGGTGTTGTCCGACAACAGCTTTAGGTTGTGAGAGTTGTGATCCGGTGGCGCTGGATGTGCTGAGCCGAAGGAACGGCTTTTTGGTGTTAGAAAGCCCCCACGTAGAAGTGTTTAATGTTTCTGCGTGCTGCTCCAGCTCTGGCTGCCCGACTCGTGCTCCTCGGTGTGAAACCGAGGGTGAAATGGGCTGTTGTATCCTCCCGTAGCCCTGCGTTGGCAGATGAGCCCGCGTCCTGTGTGCGGCAGGCATTTGTATGCCTGATGCATAACCTGACCTGGCGGTAACCTCCGGTCACCGCTTGGCCGGGTTCTTTCTACCATTAGTTTCTTATCAGTGCACTCAATAGCTTTCTGGTTTCCTGTCTCCCCTTCAGACCAAGGATGGCATTCAGAAGAACTTGGAGAATGAAATCATCAAGTACAGTTTTAAGACCTCTTTCTTTGATATATTTGTGAGTATCACAGACCGCTGCAGGTGAGGAAACGGCTTTGGAGCCAGGGGTGGCGCGACCAAAGGCCGGGCAGGGAGGCTCTGCGTGCCGGGGGGCCGGGGTCTCCCTGCAGCCTTGCCCCTCGCCTGGCTCAGAGAAATCAGGCAGGTCGCAGCCCGTCCTGTTGCAGTCTTGACCCCATCTGTCTCGGCGGCGAGGTCCTCGGGGGCTGGCCCGTGTCTGTGTCCTCCCAGCACCTGGCAGAGGGACAAGGGCAGTGACTTGTGTCCATGGCTTTTTGTTTTCAAAGGTCTTGGCTTTCTTTCGTTTTTTTGTGTTGCTGCTGGCCTATGCAATCGTAAAGCTGCGCCACTGGTGGGTCATAGCGGTAAGAAGGCAATTTTTGTTTTCCTGTTTTTAGTTTTCTCGCTCCACCTACGTTTTGCAGGGATCTGAGATACGTAAATTTATTTTTCAGGTCACTACATTGGTGTCCAGTGCCTTCCTGATTGTGAAGGTCATCCTCTCCGAGGTTGGTTTCCTTGGGCTCACAGGGGATTGCTCTGTGATTACTTGATGCTGCTGTTTTCCCGTTTGTGTAAACTCCTTGTGGTTTCTGCTTTCTTCCACGCAGCTTCTGACCAAAGGGGCTTTCGGCTATTTACTTCCTATCGTCTCGTTTGTCATTGCTTGGCTGGAGACTTGGTTCCTGGATTTTAAAGTCCTAACTCAGGAAGCAGAAGAGGAACGATGTGAGTATTTTGCTCTTCTCTGGTGGGAGTTGGCAAATGAGGCTACCAGGCCTGGGGTTTCTGCTGCTTTGGCAGCACCTTGACAGATATGACATTTATGGAGAAGTGATCTCCAGGCTGGCTGTGACGGTAAGTGCCTGACTCAATTCTGTTATGGTATATAAGCCCCTTCAGGGGAAGAAAATACCAGATTATAAAAAGCATCTTTTAATTGAGTGGAGAAAAACGTGCCAGATTCCCCAATGTCTGGATCCTGAAGCCAGACATGTTGGAAACAGAGCTCACCTCCGCATCGGAGAAAATGTTTTGAAACAGTGGGACAAATGCCAGGCGGACTGTTGGACTCTGTCTCTGGATATCTGTCTTCGGATCTGGGCTGGAGACCTTTCAGAGAGGATTGCTTCAGTTACAGACACGTTGCAGGGGCGTGGTGTGAACTATGGTGCGTGAAATTTTACAGCCTCTGGTCGCTGAGGTCAGACGAAACGGAGATCGAGTCTGACCTAGTGCTTTACAAATTACAAATTACCCTGCAGCGCCGGGCACCTGTAACTTCAGGGGTCCTTCTAGGGAGGGAGTGCTCAGCCTGGACTGGCACGGCAAGGACTTTGTCGCTCTCCCAGGCTTGACTGACGAAAGAGGACTGGGAAACGGCACATAAACGAAGGAGTATTTGTCAAGCGGGGCTCGATCACAAATGCACTGACTGACTGGAAAACACCAGAGGATGTTTGGGTCTTGCAAGGAGGCTTTAAGATGAAAAATGATCAAGTGTTTAATGCCTCTATTGGATTAGGCTCAGGTTCCAAATTGCTTCCAGGGGAAGCTCTTATTTAATTAGATGCTTAATCGCCTTTGGATTTGACAGGCAAAAGAGCCCATTGATCTCCATGCAGATAAAATGTCTCAAACAAAAGATGAGGCAACAGGAGCTGAAAAGCTTGTGGGCTGGCTAGTGTCAGTGCGAAAAGACCAGCTGTATCTGGAAGAAAGTGGCTGGGAGGGTGGTTGAGTAGGGGTGGATGGGGTGGGGGCCCCAGGACCCCTTGGCGTTGAAGCGCTGGATGCTGCGTGTGTAAAACCTCGTGCTTTGGTTCACAGGGTACCTGGCAGCCCAGGCTGCAGCCTCTCGCGGCCCCCTGCTCTACCCCAGAGCCCTTTCCGAGGGGCAGTTCTACTCCCCGCCAGAGTCCTTCGCAGGTGAGACGTGCTCTCCTCCCCTTCTGCCGTCACCGCGCCGGCAGCAGGGCCACCTCATTTCCCGAGCTTGTTTTCCTCACGGCATTCC